CGTGAAGCATGAAGAGAGAGTCTGTTAGCGTGAACACAAAGCCTGTTTTTCCTACTATAATGCAATCAAGGGTGAGGAGCACTTCCAGCCTCTGTTCCCCAAGACAGCTGTTTGGGCTTTAGTGAGCATAAGAGACTTCTTCTAAAAACATTATTTTTTTCCCCTTTAAAAAAAAAAAAAAAAAAAAAGTTTATATATATATATATTTTTTTTTATTTTATTTTTTATTTTTTAAACATCTGACTTTAGCATTATACTTGATTGTTCCTGTGTTGTCTGTTTTTGGTCTGCCTAAATTTAGTAGGACCCCCATAGAGGTCCAATGTGGTGCCCTGCTCTTTCCACTTCAACAAAGAAACAGAGGGGAGTCGCACCCTCAAGACACAGCCTTTCTATTTCTGTCCTCCCTCTCCATCAGTCTGTCTGTCCTTTTTTCTCTCTTCCCCTCCTTTTCCATAGACTGTCTGCACATTTCACACCTTTTCAATCTTTTTTTTCTAGTTGTGATGTATGAACTTCCTATTCTCTATATACAGCAAGCTTAGAATAAAAGGCAAGCATTGTGTTATTCCTGCACTGTTTGTGCTATGGACATGAATAATATCTCAAATCATAGAGCTTGCTGATTACTTTTCTGAGCTAAATCAAAAAAAAAAAAAGTGATATGTTTTTAGTTTTGTGATCTGATCACTGAAACCACACGCAAAGGTAATCGGAAATGCAAGTGCAGGAACATCCAAACCAGCTTCCTCCTGTCAGGAGTACAACCTCAAACACTGACACATACGTGCACATTTAGGAAGAAAAAAATCAGACAACACTTCACTGATCCAGACAAATGTGTGTGATTAGGAAGACATCCAAAATGTGGCCCAGAAATGGACCAATGTACTAGTTGGTTGTTGGATGACTAGTTGAAAAAGGAGATGACAGCTTCTCTCCCTCCATACTGAGACTAGAACAACAATAGGTGATATTTAGATGAGAGAGACAGAGAAAAATGAGGATAAAAATAAAGAGCGAAGCAGTTAAAATCACTGTGGGGCTACAGACAATTATCCTATACAGACACATCAGGAGAGCAAACCTCAATGTGGAGTAAAGATGCCATTATTCTTCATCAATGAGGCATTTGTCCCTAAATGGTCCTTATATAGTTTATATAATTACAACAGAAGCAGCATCCCATAACTATTCTGGTATAAAGCAGAAATGTGAAAATACCTCTATATACTGTACCTATATGAACTGTGACAACAGATTATTGGCATGTAAAATCATTTCAGACCTGCCACAAATATTGCCAACAAAATATGATTTTACACCCCAGGGTGTCTGTTATGAAAGGCTGGCTCAATACCAAAACTTTGGCTTTGGTAAACTGGTACCTCAGTATCGATACTAATATACAATCAATACCTTGATACAAACAGATAGTAATAATAAAAGTATACATGAAACCTGTCATGTACAGATAAAGCCCATCTTTAAATCAAGCAGGGTCACAGAATTAACACTTCTAACTTATTTTACAATATATTAAAATATATTACATAAAATATATAAATATATTGTATAAACATACTATTTATTATTAAATACGTATTAAAAAATCAATACTATTATAAATATTAACACACATTTAAAATATTAATATATTTCAGATATTACTATATACAAACATTTTCCAAATAAATAAACCAAACAATCCAGAACATAAACATAACGTATCATAATTGAATTAAAAAAGCAACTAAAGTTAGCTACAATGAACACACAAATATTAATTACTTTATTAGTAATTTAAGATGTTTAAAATGTTAAATTTGAAAGGTTTCAAATGATCAAAATATTGAATAAAATGAAATTTTATAATAATAAATAATAATTAAATAACAAAAACTTGCATAACATTTTTATTAAAACATTTTTTGTTCCTTTATACCCTGCAAAACAAGTCACAACCAATCTACAACTCAACAAAAACAGCTAATCATTCTGCTATGCTAATAACATGAGCAGTTTTAACCAAGTCACACCCCTTATTTCACCAATGAAGGGTGTTATCCACAGATGGTGGGTTGGTATCAGATGTGCCCATAATTACAACAGAAGCAGCATCCAATAACTATT